AAAGGTGCTCAGGATTGGTTCAAATTCGACATCTGGCCATGTAAAGAAGTCCACAATACGAATTTGTGGTCAAAATTTTATTTACGCCAGTTTCCAAGATGGCCGCGCCATACATTTTTTATAGGACAATGTGTTTGGAGGCCCACATCTCGGCGACTATTGGAGATAGGTGGAGTGCGCTCTAACAAATGTGATAGAAGGTGGTAAGAGCCAATTGCTGGTAATAAAAAAAAATCAAAATGGCGAATTCAAAATGGCCGTTCGACAAAAATGTGCTCCGATCCGGCTCATATTCGATATCTGGGCATGTATAGAAGCCCACAATACAAATCTGTGTTCGAAATTTTAATTCAGCAATTTTCCAAGATGGCCGAAACACATTTAAACTGTCTATCTTTTGGCGTAATTTTTTAACCAGACAAAGGGCGAGTACATACATACATATACTTCACGCCTTTTTCGCGTCGGGGTAGGCGGAGACAATAGTCTTCCACTTGCTACGGTCCTGACATACATCCTTCGCCTCATCAACAAAGGGCGAGTAGGTAAAAATTATACAGAGAAGTAATGGACGGATGGATTAGGTGAACATAAAAGGTACCAACACTTTCAAAATGTGTTCCGCATCAGGTCAGACCCCTTAGAATATTAACGCATAGAATGATAGTTTCATATCAAACGAACTGTCACAAGTGAGGCAAAAACCAAATTCATGTAGGCGTAAGCAACTTGTAACTACGCTCGTCGGCACGCACACAAATATACAAATAATAATGCCATGGAATAACATTTCCCTCAAAAGTGGGGAAATTGTATCTTGCTTAACTCATCATTAAGTTGAAGGTGCCTACAGATTTGCCCGACATTGTCGATCAAGTGCCTACAGGTATGGTCGGTTTTGTCGATGAAAAACGAATATAGCACTTATTTCTAAATCCAAGATGGCGGACACGAGTTTTCAAATAAATGCAATATGGGTATCATTTTCGAGGTACTTGGGGGTGCTCATTACGAATATGGCACTCATTTCTAAATCCAAGATGGCGGGCACGATTTTTCAAAAAAATGCTATGTGGGTATCATTTTCGAGGTATTTGGGGATGCTCATTACGAATATGGCACTCATTTCCAAATCCAAGATGGCGGACACGATTTTTCAAAAAAATGCTATATGGGTATCATTTTCGAGGTATTTGGGGATGCTCATTACGAATATGGCACTCATTTCTAAATCCAAGATGGCGGACACGAGTTTTCAAATAAATGCAATATGGGTATCATTTCCGAGATACTTGGGGGTGCTCATTACGAATATGGCACTCATTTCTAAATCCAAGACGGCGGGCACGATTTTTTCAAAAAAATGCTATGTGGGTGTCATTTTCGAGGTATTTGGGGATGCTCAATGTGAATATGGCACTATTTGTAAATCCAATATGGCGGGCACGATTTTTCAAATAACGGCAAGTTGGGTATCGTTTTCGAGGTACGAATATTGCTTTTGTTTGAACTGTCGTGTTTGCAATCTTGGATTTAGAAATGAGTGCCATATTTGTATTGAACATTCCCAAACATCTCGAAAACGATACCCAACTTGCCATTATTCGAAAAATCGCGCCCGCCATCTTGGATTTAGAAATAAGTGCCATATTCGAAACCTAAAACCGAAAATGCCATAAGCAAACATTAAAGAAAATAACTGTTAAAATAGATTAAAAAATCGCTTAAGAATGCTCCCCTTTTAAGAAAATAAAATATTTTAATATAAAATATTTCGCTTGAGTTACGAAAAGAAAGACATATAATAAGCTATCAAAGTTGTACTGGTGGTGCCAACTTTATAGTAGAAACAAATATATACTGTAAATTTGTTGCAATATGTGCTTCAATTCAAATAAAATTAAAATAAATAATTATTCAATAAAGCATGAACGCAGAGCCGTTAAAAGTATTATAAAATAATTAAGTGTCCCAATCACTTACAGGAGTTAACGAAAACATTTAATGTTTATTCAAGTAAATATTAGTTCAAGATGCGCAAATAAATCGAAATTACAGGCACCACTAAAATTTACGTAATATAATTATTTTGATACAGAATAGCAAAATGGGGAGAAAAAAAATTCGTTACTTTGCAACACTTTCGTATCTTGTTGCCGCGAAATTATTTTTCTGTTTTAGTGAATAATTACATAAAAATATGAGTTGAAACGCATTACTTACTTGTGGAATGTGATGTTAGTGTCTATTTTATGTTTGTCTGTTCTATTTTTACACCCATTTACCGCACATTTCGTCATTTTTAGCAAAAAATTTTGGAGCTGTTCGCGGTGCAATTTGACCTTGAGCACTAACAGCCCGCGCGCTCCTGGGAGCCCGTTGGGAAGCCTTTAACTTGCCTCACTTAGCGTGTGCGGGTAGGTTTCTATGCGTTATTATTCTAAGGTCAGACCCCAGCTGCCCGGTCAAAGTATACAATTTGGCTCGGAGTTCTCCAAACAAATTAAAGATTATATTGTATGTGGATTTGACAACTCTGCAAGACCACGATAAGGATCATACGGAGATTTTAAAAGTACCATTTACTAATTTTTACCAATTATTGAAAAGAAACACACGAAGAATGTGGCTGCAATATTGGGATAAAACTAAGGAAAGTAAAGGAAAGTGGTATGCAGAAATACAAAAAGACATACCAATAGAGCCCTGGTATTACAGATTCAAGTACTGCGGCAGAAAGTTCATAGCTGTAATTAATCGCCTGCGATTCGGTCATTGCTTAGTTCCAGCCCATCTTAATAGACTAGAGATTGTAACTAGCTCAAAATGTAATTATTGTTCCAATGCCAATGCTGATATTGCTCATATAATTTTTAACTGTGAAGCTTTTGGAGTGCAGCGGTTGATAATTGTCAGTGAATTAAGTGACATATATAAGTGAAAAATAAATAAATAAATAAATAAACATATCGGATGAAAGTATAGCTGGATTACCACTGTCTGACTGACTGACTGAACCAGTGATTTAGATAATTGATCTCCCAGAAGGAATCGCTGTGGGTCAAAATGATGTACGGGAGTCGTGATCGGATGGCTCCGGTGAGTACCAGAAAAATCCGAAATCTTCGAAAAGTGCACTGCATCAAGTGGGACCCCGGCATCGCGGCCAAAGTATAACACCTACCGGCAGGATCGTCAAACTAAAAATAGCGGCTACCCTGGGCACTTTCTACCGGAAGTGAAAAAAATTCAAAATTCGAATAAACAAGATGGCCGCCATACAAATTTCAGAGCCCCGTAGCTCGGCAAGTACTGGAGATGGGCGTGGGGTCCTCGACCAAATGTCATAGAGGGCGGTGGGGGTCAAAAAATTTTTTCAAGATGGCCGACTCAAAGTGGGGTCTTAAAATAAAAGTGCTCGGATCCGACTGAAATTTGGCATGCGGCCGTATATGGGAGTCCACAATAGGAAACTGGGGTCAAAATTTCGATTCCGCCATTTTCCAAGATGGCCGCCAAACATGTGAATTTTCTGCCCTTTGGAGTCATTTTTCTCCCAGAAGAAGTGCGGGTTGGTAAAAATTATGTAGGGGAATTATGGTCGGACAGGTTTGATGAGTATCAGAAGGTAAAGTAATCTTCGAAACGTGCTCCGCATCAGGTAGGTTCCCAGCTGCCCGACCAAAGTACGCGTCTTGGCTCAAAGTGTCCTAACAAATGTTTATCCACACTCTGGGCAGTTTCTACCGGGAGTGAAAA